CTACACTTCCTCTCCATCTACCTACTTTTAATGGTGCAAATGTCAATTCATATAAACCTTCTTTATTAGCACCAATTGCAAATTAATCTTTTCCTAACAATCCATCACCATTTATTATAACTTCATAAATAGCTGTCTCTGAAAGTGGATTTGATAATGTTAATTATATTACTGTTGCTTATCTAATCAAACATTATAAATCTAATGTCTGTAATGATTTTGGTGATTCTGTATTCATAAATACAGTATACCTTAGATATCTTCCATTATCCTCTGTAAATGTTATTGAACCTGTATATTATCCAGATAATATTGGCTATACTATTAATTAATAAATCCCTTTTTTCCCTGCCCCTATTCTTATCTAATTGGACCTGTTGCATAAATCGAATCGGTCTCTACTTTATAAATTATCTCCTTATCTGTCAAGTTTCTTAATTCAATATCTCTTTTTAATGCTTTCCTTGCATTACAATTTAATATTATATGTTCCTCTGCTACTGATTCTTCTCCTATCTCTACCAAATCATATTCAAATACATCATTTGTTAATAGATTATTCAATATTAATTTAGCTTCAATCTATGCTATCCATAAAGGATGAAATGTTATTGGAAATTATCCTGTTGATTTCTTTTTTATTATAAATTCCTTATTTGGACATTAAAATAAATTATCTCCACTCTAATTCAATTAAATATTTATCGTCCAATCTTTATCTGAACCATTAACTATTTGAGTCTCCTATATCACCTATTATCTAGCTGGTATTCTAAATTCTAAAGTTGCTAATACTTAAGCAGTTAATTTATATCTTCTAATACACCCAATTATTAATCTTTAATTTTATTAACTCCTCAGCTATATCATATTTATTCTTTAAAGTTAATATTACATTAAAATCTTTTGTTGCATTCTTAAATGCATAAGTTATTACCAATTTACTATCATAATATCTATCTAATGATTTCTTACTACCATCTGCTACTGTAAGAGTTGCAGGCACTTAAACATATTATGTGCTTGGAAATAAATCCTATTCATATGTCAATTAATCTAAATTACCTCCAGGAAAATTTAAATTATTCTAAAAATTATTAGATGAACTTGTTTTATCAGCCACATTTTATTATTTAATCTTTTATTTAAATTACATTATTTATTATATTTATTATCTTGCTTTTACAATCTATTCATTTTTAAAAGAAATCTAATAAGAAATCTAAATTGTTTATTCTACATAAGGCAATTTCTCTGGTTTAAATTCTCCTGATAAATTAGGTAATTCTACTGTTCCTTATAAATCATGTTAAAATTCTCCCACTTAAGGATCTGTAAATACTATATAACATTTATGGGTTTCCATTGTTAATGGAATATATTATAAAATTAAGTTTATTGTCTAATTCTTATGTATTCTTACCCTTTCTTATTAGCAAAAGAATGCAGGGAATTCTTCTTCTTATGATTATTGAATTTATTATTATACTACTTATTTTCCTTTCTTTTTTTATTATTCCTATTATTTTTTCTCCTGTTATATTAATATTTAAAAATCACCATCAAATAAAAAATTTATTAGTTATCTAAATTTAAAAATCAAAGATTTCATATAAAATAGAACTCACATTCCATTATTTCTCAGATTTCCTTCCAGTTATGGTTGATTTTAATTCAAAAACTAAGGCTGCTGCCTAAACATTTGATTCTTTTTTATTTATAAATATCAGCCTTCCTGTTACAGGTTATGAAATACAAGATGTAAATTTAATCCTATATTAATATGGTACATCTGGTTCTATTTTAATAGTTTTATCTCCATCTAATTGAAAATCTGGATGGCCTTCTTACTTAACCCAATAACTAATAGGTTTTTGAGTTGGATTCTTGAGTTCAATACTCTTGATTACTTCCTCTCCCAAAATACATGAAAAAAATATTGAATCTTTTTATGGAATATAATAAGGTAAAGCAAATAATAATTAAACAAGCATCATTAACATTTCTCGACAATTTGGATGATAAATATCTTATGGTATCAAATGAGATTATAATCCAAAATCTTATAATGCTGGGAATAGTTTTTCTGTATTATGTTTATAATCATCCTCATTGTTACATACATTCCTTAAATTGACAAAGAATTTAGACATCGATGGTCCAATGAAAGTAGTTAAAGCATTTGATATAAAGATTGAATCTTTAAAATCAAGATCTAAATTCTTTATTCTTTTTTATGCAGAATGTTGAATCTCATAACAAATCTCATAAAAATAAAGAAGAATTCCTTCAGATTAAGATATTACATTAGATCCTTCTAAGTAATATTCAGGAATTGTTAATTTATTTTGAGTAATTCCTGATAATGCTTTAAAGGATTTTATTGTGATCCTATTTAAATAGTAAATCTTTAATATTTAATAAAATAGTGAAATCCAAGAATCATATATAATTATATTTAGTGAGATTTAATCTGAGAAGATTTTCTGGAATATTCTCATATTTAGAAGAAGGTTAATTTTTAAGCCAAGCTAAATAATCTTAATAACCTAACAAATATTCAGATCTGATATGATTTAATAAAGCTCCTTCAATTTTAAGTTATCTAATTAATTCATCATATTGTTTATAGAGAACATCTGCTCTTTAAGATTTCTTCCAATTAGGATCAATAATTTATTTATAGGGAAATGTAGTTTTACCAGTTAAAAAGGTAATTAATTTCAAAAATTTATTACCCGTAAGAATTTATAACATCCTCTGGATATGTATTTATACTAGTTGTAAGAATCTGACAATATAATCATTAGCTTATCCTAATAAATCTCTTCTAATTGGAGTATATCCCAAATTAGCAGTTCCTTTAGAGGATGTAGTAGATTTAACAGAAAAATTATGTTTTGGATTTTTTTCATTATCTGAATCTAAATTATCATCTTCGACATATTAGATTGGCTTTTTATCTTCAACTTCTAATTGATATCTGCCCATTCTTCATAAAAAGCTTTGATTTGTAAAAATACAATTATCTGTAGTACCTGATATATTGATAATATAAACTTTAGCTTCATCAATAAATTCAACTCTTGTTGTAAAACTTATTGGTTTTTTATTGCTGAATACAACTTCAACAGTTAATTTATTTTTAGCAACACCTAAAGTTGAACCTTCAGGAAATCTGAATTCTAGATTGAAATTACTAATTTCTTCAGCCCAGTTATATTTAAGATTTAAATTTTCATAGCTATCATTAATGACCCTAAAATAGCATTTAGATTATATATTAAGAGGTACAACAGGTAAGATTACTTCTTTTTTGTCAAATAGTAATCTTAGATAAGCTCCTGATCCGCTCATAGTAATTTCAACATAAGGTAATGTTGAAGGAATTTCAGGATCTTCCAAAATATACAATTGTATTGTTCCATTGAAGGATCCAGGACCATAGAGATTAAATTTAACTCTAATATTAATTTATTATCCACTTGGAACAACACCTTCATTAGGTTCAATTGCAAAGATTTTTTCAGATTTAAGTGATTGACAATCAATTTTCCAATGAACGTCTTTTCTATCTGGATTTGATAATTTAATTTCTTCAACAGTTGGAAAACATTTATCTGGAGATGTGATGATTTTCTTTTTAAATTCAAATAATTGTGGTTCTACCAAAAATTTAGGTTTAAGTCCTCTACATTTGACTTTCCTCATTAATGAAGATAATGGACCATATCTAGCCAATGTAATAGGAATATCAAAAGAATATTATTTAACATCCTTAGGTGAAAATCTCATATGAAATTAAAGAGTTTTACCACCTGCAATAGTTATATTGTATTATTTGAATTATTTTGATTCAATTTGAATAGGTTCTGAATTATCAGAGACATTAGCATTATCATCTAAAGGATCTTCTTCTTTAGGTTCATCTTCTTCTTAATCAGGATGTATAGAATGTATAAATTTTTCTTCTTCATCTTATGGTTTGATTTCTAAACATTCAATTCCATCNAAAAAGGTAATTAATTTCAAAAATTTATTACCCGTAAGAATTTATAACATCCTCTGGATATGTATTTATACTAGTTGTAAGAATCTGACAATATAATCATTAGCTTATCCTAATAAATCTCTTCTAATTGGAGTATATCCCAAATTAGCAGTTCCTTTAGAGGATGTAGTAGATTTAACAGAAAAATTATGTTTTGGATTTTTTTCATTATCTGAATCTAAATTATCATCTTCGACATATTAGATTGGCTTTTTATCTTCAACTTCTAATTGATATCTGCCCATTCTTCATAAAAAGCTTTGATTTGTAAAAATACAATTATCTGTAGTACCTGATATATTGATAATATAAACTTTAGCTTCATCAATAAATTCAACTCTTGTTGTAAAACTTATTGGTTTTTTATTGCTGAATACAACTTCAACAGTTAATTTATTTTTAGCAACACCTAAAGTTGAACCTTCAGGAAATCTGAATTCTAGATTGAAATTACTAATTTCTTCAGCCCAGTTATATTTAAGATTTAAATTTTCATAGCTATCATTAATGACCCTAAAATAGCATTTAGATTATATATTAAGAGGTACAACAGGTAAGATTACTTCTTTTTTGTCAAATAGTAATCTTAGATAAGCTCCTGATCCGCTCATAGTAATTTCAACATAAGGTAATGTTGAAGGAATTTCAGGATCTTCCAAAATATACAATTGTATTGTTCCATTGAAGGATCCAGGACCATAGAGATTAAATTTAACTCTAATATTAATTTATTATCCACTTGGAACAACACCTTCATTAGGTTCAATTGCAAAGATTTTTTCAGATTTAAGTGATTGACAATCAATTTTCCAATGAACGTCTTTTCTATCTGGATTTGATAATTTAATTTCTTCAACAGTTGGAAAACATTTATCTGGAGATGTGATGATTTTCTTTTTAAATTCAAATAATTGTGGTTCTACCAAAAATTTAGGTTTAAGTCCTCTACATTTGACTTTCCTCATTAATGAAGATAATGGACCATATCTAGCCAATGTAATAGGAATATCAAAAGAATATTATTTAACATCCTTAGGTGAAAATCTCATATGAAATTAAAGAGTTTTACCACCTGCAATAGTTATATTGTATTATTTGAATTATTTTGATTCAATTTGAATAGGTTCTGAATTATCAGAGACATTAGCATTATCATCTAAAGGATCTTCTTCTTTAGGTTCATCTTCTTCTTAATCAGGATGTATAGAATGTATAAATTTTTCTTCTTCATCTTATGGTTTGATTTCTAAACATTCAATTCCATCAGGGCTTTAGGATTATCTTTGATGTTCTTAAATCTAAGATTAACTCAACACTCACAGGAGATGAATTAATAAAGGTTAAGGGAATTTAATTACTAGTTCCAAGAGTAGTAACATTTCCAAAATCAAAAATATCTTATTCAATTTCTATTTTTGGTATAATAGATGTAGCAGAGAATGGAATATTAATTATTTTACCACCTCTAATTTGAATTACAATATCTCCCTTTATAGTCTTCTCTTCTTTGCTAAAGAATTTAACTTAGATATCTTTAGTTTCATCAGATAGAATCTTACCTTTCATTGGTATTATTTCTAAACATTCAATTTTATGATTTAATTAAAAATACTGCAGTAGATTTCGAATAATTTTTTGTACAAATTAATTTAGACTCAGGCTTACATAATATAATATCCTTGAAATCTAACGAACCTTATTTAACTGTAACATTTTGGTTCTGTTACCATACCAATACATTTGACACTTTAATCAATACTTTCCTCTGTTTTTAATATTATCTTTTCATCTTCTGTTTTTGTTATTGCTGCTGTATATTATTATTATTATTATCCTGTTATTTATTGAATATATTATATATCTCCTCCAAAAGATGGACAATAAAATATCTAACATTCCAAATATTTGCCAGATGCTACTATTCCTTCCTCTGGTTCAACATAGAATAGCTTCTTTTCTGATGTTATCCATTTAAATTTTGCCTCTGCATTCCCATTATTATTTAATCTCAATATTTCAGATGTCTCCATTTCTGCGTTATCTATGTAAATGTTAATTTCAATTATTATCTACTCATTTCTAAAAATACTTTTTCAATGATTGCTCCAAACTAAAGTTCAAAAATGTGTTTTTCATTTATAATATATTTTAAATGTGATTTAAACATCCCTAATTGTTTAGAGCATATACAAATATCAAAACCAGCTGTTTATCCACTTGGAATAATTTAAGGTTTCATATATGAATATGCTAAATCTTCCTTATCCGAATAGATTCTAGCAGATATACAATTCCGCAATTCATTTCGTACTTAAAAATACTTTATTGCCATAGATTTTACAAATATATTACCAAATTCCAATTTAACTGGTCCTGCACAAATCTTTAGTAATGTTTAAGAATTCAATTCCTAAGTTGTATCTCTTATTTCACTATGTGTTTTTGGTTCACTTGGAAATTTCTTTTTTGGAACTGTTTTTGGATCAGGATGAAAAGCTTTTATAACATTACCTTGGTTTAGTTACAAATAATGATTCATTTCCATCTGGTAAATTTAGATCTTATTCATAAACATCTTCACGCATTCCTACTGCAAATTCATAATCTATTGGTGGATCAAGTTTATCTTCTATTGTTGTTTATTATTTCTTTTTCTTCAAAATTAATGATTCATTTTTTTATCTGATTCATCCTCTCTGTCATCTACTTAATTTTTTTTTTATTTACTAATCCTTGTCCTTTTTTATTCTCTATGCTATTTTAAATACTCATTATATTTATCCTTATTTAATCGTTTCATCTCTTCAATCTTATCCACACCTATTAAGATAATGAAACTAACGATTTAAGACATTTCAAATGATTATACTAGTATTAATTTAATTTATATACATTCAATATTTAATGAATCCATTATACTTAATCTGTTGATGTTTTAATGATTCCAAAGATAGAACGATCTTTAGAAATTTCTAATCAGCTCCTTTTCTAAATTATTGTTTTAGGTAATTAACATTTATGAACATATTCCTGTAACTTTAATTGGAATTTTAAACACGCCTCCTAATAGTTCAGCATTAAGAACATTTGAAAATTAACCAACATGTTTTGGTCTAAAAGTTACCCAAAAATTGATTTTTTCATTGATAGCTAATTTTTTCAATTAAGGATTGACTGAAAAGTAAGGAATAGTTGGAAATCCAATGAGTATAGATTATACTTTAGACATATTTGAAACTTCAAATACAATATCTTTAGTTTAATTAGCTATACACTACCCAAATTATAAAGTTTAAATAGGAGGAAATTTAATTTGTGGACAAATACAATGAACAGTAAGATGATTAATGGTTCATCATCATTAAAGTCAAATATTGCTGAATAATGAAATTCTTCTAATTCGATTTTTTTATCTTGATTTAATGCAAATTAACGTGTTTTCATCTACAATTCTTCATTAACTTTAGGTTTACATTTAAATATTATTGTTACCTATGAATATTATTCAATAACACCTTCTTCTGGCCAACATTCCATAATTCTCTCTGTTTATTCAAGACCTAACTCTGCTGGTGTCTATAACTTTAACGTTTCTTCTCTTTCATGTAATCCTTATTTCAATTTTACCTTAAATTTCTATTATCTAGGTGTATTATTTATTAAATAAGCTTCAATTTATTTTTGTTATCCATAAAACATGGTGCCAAAATGAAAGGTATTACTTTAAGTACCATTTTAATCAATTAAAAATCTTGTAAATTATATTGATGTTGCATTAATTTCAATAGGATTTTTTAAGTTTAATCCACTTTATTAACCTTCTGCAAATACTTCAATAATTCCTCTAAATATTCCTGCATCTCTTGGTTTGTAAAATACAGTTACAGTAAATTCTTATCCTGGAATGAGAGTAAATGAATTTGGTTCTATTCTGAATTCTACAATTTTATCTAATTTCAATTCTACTCTTCCTGCTGCTTTTCCTTCGTTTTAAAAATGTATTTTATCCACTTTCTCTTTTCTGACTCTCACAAATCCTAAATTTATGAATGGCTCATAAATTATCCTTATTTATTATATTGGAATACGCTGCTTATGCTGGAAATGCATGTAATGGAATATTTATACTATACTAACCATCAGTTACAATCTTTAGTTAGTCTGTAAATGAATCTAAAGTGGCTGTTTCAAATGTTACAATTAATTTCATTGAAAGTCCAGCAGCTATTGCACTTAATTAATTATCTATATTATTTACCCTTGCATTTCACATCTAAAATGAGAATGAGGTTGAAATACTCTTATTCTACGTGCATTTTATGTTAAATTTCGTATATAAACAGCAATCTCATAAGTCTAATTTATCTATATATCCTTGAATATAATTTCATTAGGAACAACTTCTATTGGTGCTCCTGAAGATAATAGCTTGATTTTAGATAACTCAAGCTGCTTTTATTCATTAATATAAATTTTAATTATTGCATTAATACTACATTTTATTTCATTTAGTATGTCATATATAAATCTATTCATAATTTCATATTTACATATCTAAAATTAAATGAGAAATCTGTAACCAATCTAAAATGTATTTCTAAGATAAGATTACAATGTCGGAAAAATAAATTTAGTTGTCTTACATGGGTTATTGGGTTCAAAAACTAATTTTAAAAATTTAGTTAATAGTACTCAAATAAGTAAATATCTGAAATCTGCTTACTTGTTAGATGTCAGGTATAATATATTTAAATATTTTAGGAATCATGGTGATTCTCCAAAAACATAAACAATGAGTTATGAAGAGATGGCATGTGATTTAAAACACTTTATTGTTAATCATAATCTTAAAAATGTAGTTTTTATGGGACATTCAATGGGAGGCAGAATAATATTTTCATATTTGGAGAATTTTCCAAATGATTGGCCACTTGGTAATGTAATAGTAGATGTTGGACCAGGTAAAAGTGATGGCAAAAATTATATTAAGAAATTATAAGAAATTGATCTTAAAAACAAAAATCTAAAAGACATAGAGTAAAATATATATGAAGTAGTTAAGAACAAGGTAATGACTCAATTGATTATAACAAATCTTACATCCACAAATAAAGATGGAATAAATATTAATTATGACTGGAGATTGAATATTGATTCAATATCATAGTTTTCAAATTAAGGTCATAAAGAATTTAGAAGTAATTATAATGGTCCAGTATGTGTTATATGCGGAGAAAAATCAGAATATGTGAATTATAATGATAGAAATCGCTTTTTACAAATATTTCCAAAAATAGACATCGATAAAGATATACATTTTATAGCAGGAGCAGGGCATTGGGTCTAAGTGGAAAAACCAAGAGAATTTATTAATTTGACAAGCCAATATTTATCTTAATTTTGAAAATTATTAAAATTCATTTCTTATGTTTCTTTCTAAAATTCATGCCACTCTACTTTTTATTTTATTTACTCTTTTTATCATTTTTTTAAGATGTCTATGGTTGTTCTCTTTCCTATTATTTTACCATAACACTTTAAACTTCTTCATTTTGATCCTCAACCTATTCAATTTTTAGAAATTCTTCCTCTCCCAAATCATGTACTTAAAAATTATTTGGATTATTCTTCTTAATATTTTATTCTGGTTCATCAGTATCATAATATTCATAGATACTAATCACATCCTCATAACAGTCTTCTGGGATATCATAATTATCAATAAGTCTTCCTAAATCCATCTAATGGCCTAAGCTCAATTCATCTGGATAGTCATCATATTCATAAATGGCGTCTTCATATTCTTAAGAAATTTCTACAATATATTTCTAGAGTACCTTCAAACCATCTATCTTCTCCTTCAATCACTTTTTTGATTATTTTGGACTCAATACTTTATAAATGATATTTGTACTTTGAATAGTTGAACTGTTCGCAAAAAATACACAAAAAATTAAGACAACTAAAACGAATTTCATTTTGTAATTATTGTTAAATGTAAGAAAACTTAATTCAAATTGACTTTTCATAAATCGAAGGTTTGGATCCATGTATATAAGGAGGATATAAGATAATTTTCAATTAAGAAATCCCTTTCATGATAAAATTTCCAGACTAAGAAGATTAAAGCATTGTTGAAACTATTCGTGTTAGAATAATGATTTTAGTATGAATATTGAAAATATCAAATTAGGGTAATGGAAAAGATTTATAACAATTAACTTTGGAGTTGTCAAGTGAAAATGATTTATTTTTCTATTACTTTCACACAGTGGATAAAGACAATTTTCAAGTTGTTAAAACAAATTAAAAGCTTAACACAGATTTTTTTGGGTATCCAGAAGTATGTGTAAAAACATTTAGGAGATGTTAATTAGAATAATAGCAGTATATAAATTGATTTATATGTGAAAAGTTTTGCACCGATATTATATATTTAACAGAATGCAAGAGCGTAAGTGAGTATTGTTTAAACATTGGAGTATAAGGAATTAACTTTAATAACATTTGAAATGATAGCAGGAGATGAAGAAATCATTAAATAGCATGTCTACTATAAACATGGAGCAGTGAAATCTAAGTTTTAGATATTAAATGCTAAAATAAAGGATGTAAATAAATTTATTGATTTTGTATTTTAGATACATGAATTAGTAAAAGTGAAGAATCCTTAACTATTGCTTCATTTATAAAAATACCTTCCTAATTGATGATATATAATATAATAATAAACTTTTTTTAATTTTATTTTGATAAATAATAAATAATTTAATATGGATAACAATATTGTAATAAAAAAATAATGGTTCATAAAATCTTCAACAACAAAAATTGAAGATGCTTATGAATTTGATCATAAAAAGGTATTAAAATGAAGTGATTGAAAAGCTACTTGGTTAAGGGACTTATGGTTAGGTTGTAAAAGCTAAACTAAAGGGTTCAAAATATTATAGAGCTATAAAAATTATACCAAAGAGTAAAGTTAGAAATCCTGACCGTTTTAGACGAGAGATAGAAATAATGCGAAATTTAGTATGAATAACAGAATATATAATTAGGATCATCCAAATATCATAAAATTATATGAGACTTTTGAAGATGCTAGAAATGTATATTTAGTAATGGAGTAATAATTATAATGATTTTAGATTATGTGAAGGAGGTGAACTATTTGATAAGATTATTGATAAAGGTCATTTTTCTGAGAATGAAGCAAGAATCACAATTTTGTAAATAATGTAAGCTGTTAACTATTGTCATTAAAATGGAATATGTCATAGAGATTTGAAACCTGAAAATTTTTTATTATTAACAAAGGCTGATGATTCACCTTTAAAAGTGATAGATTTTGGTTTATCAGTTATATTCCATGATAATCATGTTGAAAAATTGACATAAGGAAAAGTTAGTATGACAACTAGAGCAGGAACACCATATTATATATCCCCTGAGATTTTAGACGGTAAATATGATGAATCTTGTGATATATGGTCAGCTGGAGTAATTCTATATATACTATTATCTGGAGTACCTCCATTTTATGGAAATACAGATCCAGAGATATTAGATGCCGTTAAAAAAGGCATTTTCACATTTAATAGTATTTTATCAGAATATTATTTAGTTCCTGAATTTAAAAAGGTTTCTGAAGGTGCTAAAGATTTGATTTCAAAAATGATATGTAAGCCAGATAAACGTATAAAATCTCATGAAGTTCTTTAACACCCATGGATGAAATAATAAACAGCTGCTGGTTCATTTTTAAGCGTTAATTACTAATCATTAAAGAATTTTACAAATTTTAATAAATTAAAAAAGGTTAAGATCATAACTATTATTATTTAGGTTACTCTAACTTATATAGCTTCTTAATTATCAGAATAAGAAATTNATAATAAACTTTTTTTAATTTTATTTTGATAAATAATAAATAATTTAATATGGATAACAATATTGTAATAAAAAAATAATGGTTCATAAAATCTTCAACAACAAAAATTGAAGATGCTTATGAATTTGATCATAAAAAGGTATTAAAATGAAGTGATTGAAAAGCTACTTGGTTAAGGGACTTATGGTTAGGTTGTAAAAGCTAAACTAAAGGGTTCAAAATATTATAGAGCTATAAAAATTATACCAAAGAGTAAAGTTAGAAATCCTGACCGTTTTAGACGAGAGATAGAAATAATGCGAAATTTAGTATGAATAACAGAATATATAATTAGGATCATCCAAATATCATAAAATTATATGAGACTTTTGAAGATGCTAGAAATGTATATTTAGTAATGGAGTAATAATTATAATGATTTTAGATTATGTGAAGGAGGTGAACTATTTGATAAGATTATTGATAAAGGTCATTTTTCTGAGAATGAAGCAAGAATCACAATTTTGTAAATAATGTAAGCTGTTAACTATTGTCATTAAAATGGAATATGTCATAGAGATTTGAAACCTGAAAATTTTTTATTATTAACAAAGGCTGATGATTCACCTTTAAAAGTGATAGATTTTGGTTTATCAGTTATATTCCATGATAATCATGTTGAAAAATTGACATAAGGAAAAGTTAGTATGACAACTAGAGCAGGAACACCATATTATATATCCCCTGAGATTTTAGACGGTAAATATGATGAATCTTGTGATATATGGTCAGCTGGAGTAATTCTATATATACTATTATCTGGAGTACCTCCATTTTATGGAAATACAGATCCAGAGATATTAGATGCCGTTAAAAAAGGCATTTTCACATTTAATAGTATTTTATCAGAATATTATTTAGTTCCTGAATTTAAAAAGGTTTCTGAAGGTGCTAAAGATTTGATTTCAAAAATGATATGTAAGCCAGATAAACGTATAAAATCTCATGAAGTTCTTTAACACCCATGGATGAAATAATAAACAGCTGCTGGTTCATTTTTAAGCGTTAATTACTAATCATTAAAGAATTTTACAAATTTTAATAAATTAAAAAAGGTTAAGATCATAACTATTATTATTTAGGTTACTCTAACTTATATAGCTTCTTAATTATCAGAATAAGAAATTTAAGAATTAGGAAAATTATTTAAATAATTAGATAAGAATGGGGATGGTGTATTGACTATGGATGAATTAACTAATGGTTTGACAGGTATGAAAAAAGAATCATAAAATGAAATTATGAGTGTTATTAAAAGTATTGATACTGATGCATCAGGTACTATAAATTATACTGGTAATTATTTTAAATATATTAATTAGAGTTTTTGGCAGCCACTATAGAGAAAAGTGTATATATGAAATAAGAAAGATTATATTAAGCATTTAAAATGTTTGATTTAGATGGAAGTGGGAAGATTTCAAGGGATGAATTAAAATAAGTTTTAGGAAGTAAGTTAAATTACTGAATTCTAGAAAGTGGTTCTTTATTTGATGATAACAGTTTTAAGGCATTGATTGCAGATGCAGACAAAGATGGTGATGGGGAGATTGATTACAATGAATTTATAGAAATGATGGATAAAATGAAACCATGAATTAATAATAGAATTCATATTCTATAATATAATTAAATTTATTTTTTTTTATTTCATTTCTCTATTCATAATTTCAAATAAAAAGACCAAATAAAAATGTTTATATATTATACACATTTTTTATATATATTTTTTTAGGGTATCATAAATAGTAAGCTGCCTTCATTACTAATTATTTTGTAATCAACTTTGCTTTGCTGTTCTCTTTGCATAATTATTCAATTTATGGTTTATAATCTCCAACTTCTCTGAACGATAATAAAATAATCAAACTAAATAAAGCAGCTCCTTTGATATTATGTTCAGGACTTTTACAAAACTCAATCAATGATTTTATGTAAGTCTTATATTATTTATTATTAACTATACATTTAAATGTTCTTATTCTAAATTTATACTCATTATCATAATAATTTTCTCATTTTCATCTAAATGTGACATCTCAAATTCACTTTCAATTTCATTATTAGATAATTATCTAAAATATTTTAATCTAATTACTTTAATAATGGGGCTTTAAGTAAATTCCCAATTGGTTCCAAGGCCAATTTGCATACTTATCTCACTTAAACACTTTCATCTAATAAATGAAGCATCACTGATACTAATGCTTGTCTTAAATATGACATAATTTATTCATTCATTATTTCCTCTACAAAACAAGTATTACATAATTTTGAGAAAAGAGAAAATGCTGAAATTCTAATCTTAGTCATCGTCTTCTCAAAATTAGCTGTTGTTGTAAATATCAATTAAGGTATATAGGCCAAAAAGTCTGTTTTTGAATCAACTAAATTTTATAAACTGATCATAGCACTTCTAACACATATTTCTTATTAATCATCCAATAAATTTATTAGACATTCAATAATTTCTTATTAGAGTTCTTTATCAATTTTTTCATCTGCTTTTAAATAATATGACAATCCTCCCAATCCAAAAGCAACCTAAGCTCTTACATTGTCACTATCATCTTCTGCTGATTCTAATAGAGTTTTCAATAAATTCTCATAAACATTCTATTATGCATATTCTTTCTTATAACTTCTAATGAATTAATTAATAACAACAATTGCACCTAATCTATATGATGCTTATTCTTTTTTAGTAAATCCTTCTATAAAATTAAAGAGTTTCTATTAATCTTAAAATGAAGCTCCTTTACAATATATCATGACAATCTCTTAGACTCCATCTTCAACTTCTTCTTCTATTAATAATTTCTTAAACACATGCTATGATATTCCTTCGATATTGCAGATAGTCAATAGATTTTGAAATGCCCATATAGCAGTCTATACAGATTAAATTGAACCTGATAATTTTGGATCATGGCAAGTCATAAATCTTAATAAGAAGGTTCCTAAAATACTTGCCATCGATTTAGGTAACATCTCACTTAAGATTTTATTTTCATCAATTAACAGTTATCCTATAAATAAAGATGCATTAACTAAATAATTTCCAATATCTCCAGTGATAACTACAAAATATCATAATTTTTTTACTTCCTTCTGGATTATTTAAAACATCAGTTAGAAATTTAAAACTCTATATCATAAATGGTTTCTTCTAACTAACACAATTTAGAAAAAGTTTTGGAAATATTCCTACTGGAAATTCTGATTAATTATCTAAAAGTATTTTCAAAGAATCACTTAAATTATTTTAAGCCAACAAATCCATTGCTTTGCTTATATTAGAATTACTAAATAATTTAAATACTATCTTACATTTATTCTTATGAAGATGATCCCACTCCTTACTGACAAATTGATTACAATAGACCGAAAATTCTATTTAAATCACCATAGTCACTTTCATATATGCACTAAATCAAAGAGACAAATCCATGTAATGATTCTACAATAGGTTCATTTATTAAATTCTATAATTCTTACATTAGTATTGATAATTCGTTATGATGTAATTTCTCTCTTAAAGATTTTATCAATTAAGAATTGAATTCATCATCAGTTTTTTAATAAATATCTAAATAAACTCCCAAAGACAACATAACCTTTTCTAAAATCAAAACAACAGACCTTTTTGCATTAGTATTACGATATAAAATAGAAAGCAATGTCAAAATTACTTTAAAATAATTCTTATGGTTTTATTCCATTTTTAATTTTACTCTCTATATACTTCTCTGTAGAATTTCAATTAATTAATCATTGTCTTTGATTGATTTAATTAGATACAATAGAGATTACCAAACAGAAATAGGCTGAGAGTCTTCTTCTAATTTAATTGTTCCTAAGAACAACAAAAAACAATTTTAAAATGTAATATTGACTTATTCTATTGATAGATCATATTTGGATTCTAAATGTTAACTCAATAATTATTAAGCTTTATTGTATTCAATAGATGCTAAACGATATTATAAATTAATTGTATTAAGATTTCTAAATATATTTCCTCTTGTGATATTTTTTTGACAATGATTCAAAACTTAGTCTCTATATTTCTAATAACTCAATAAGAATGAGGATGCTGCTGCTTCATCAGTATTTTCAATTGATCTTTCAATAGCTTTGCTTATGGATTCCAAAGAAATTTAGAGAGAGTTGAATAATTGGTCATGTCCAATAAATGGCATAACATTAGGTAGGATATTTTTCTCTAAAATTTCTAAGGAAACTTATTTAGCTAAACAACCATAGGCAATTAATAGTGTAGCACGAAAAGAAGCTAAATATTCATCACCTCCACTTTTTTAAAATATGGATAAAACACTTTCTTTAAAAGAGCCTGTATTTTTCTTTTGTATAACTTCACAATTTAAGATAGATTTGACCTTATCTAACACTAATTGAGTATGCCTCTCTCCTATGTAACCAAAACATTCAGCTACACAAAGTCGAAGATTGAAATCTGGTTCTTATACTGGAACATTTAAATTAAGTGCTTGATTAGTGTATTCTTAATGACATATACTAAATAACTTGTCTAAATTATATTTGATTGTTTCTTGATTCGTAAGAAAACTCATTAGTGTTGCTTACATTTTCATAATTGGTAATCTCAAAGCTTGTGAATTTAAGTACATACTGAGTTAAACTTGGAAATCTTCTTCTATTTAAGAGAGTTCTTTGCTTTAAATGAATAATGATAAACAAACCTTCCATATTTATTATACTTTTTCTTCATAAAATTCATCCAAAGGTTTTTTGTTTATCAAATATTATTTCAATGCCTCAATATTTTAGTGAAAACTACTTGATACTTTTAAATCAAATGTTTTCACTAAATAAGGCAAAAAGTTCACTGCTTCAGATCCTAAATTTGGAAAGAAATATGGAATTTAAATTAGTAATAACATTCTTACAACTATAACATGTTGAGCAACAGGAGAATTGTGAGTAATATTATTTAATTTTTGTAAGATTTAAGTATAACATTTAAAAATATGAGATAATCCAGGGGAAAACTTTTGATTATTAATAATTTCTAATCCCATGGGCCATAATAAATCATAAAAATATTAATCTTATGCAAGTGTTGTTAATATTTTTTATGCTCTACTCTTCAATAGCTTTCAAAATATAAATTTGATTCTTACTTCTAATGTTGTTTCAAACGGGGCTGCTCTTTATTTTCCATACTCTTCCAATTCTTTATCGTGAATTGAAACTTGATTAAATAGATAAAAAAGTAATGCTTTCACATCCAAATAAGTTTAATTGATTGGTTATTCTTCATCTTTTAATTTATAATATATTTATAAGATGATTTCACAAATAGCATATCTGACTTCACAATCCTATTCGAATTATAAATTTAATAATTATAAAACCAATTATCTTTTATATGGTTCTGAAATCTACTTAAAATTTCTCGATAAAATAAAATTACAAATCCAAAGACATGATACTCTTTCTATAGAGTCTTTACTCTAAAAAATAAATATATATATATACATTAATTCTTCCAATAAATAAATCTAAACAATTATCGATATTGAATTTGGATACCGTCTATAAAAGAGTTAATAAATCGTTTTTATATTTTAAAGCATTTGGATCAAAAGGATAATTAGGGGAGAAAATAGGATTTTTATAAAATTCATACAATGATACCATGATTGATTTAATGATTCCTTCATATCCAATTCTATCTAATTAATATAATCTCTCTAAGAATTTGTTAAAACCTTCAAATAATGGTCTCAATTAGTTATTTTTCTATTTCAAGACACTCAAATATACAGACGTTAATCTTTCTAAACTACGTTCCAATCTTTCTCTAGATATAAATTAACTCATGAATCCTACTAATGATAAAACTTAAAGTTATGTAGTTGTCTACATCCAATCTTTAATAATTTAATCAAATATAAGCCAACTCACATTTTATACCTATTCTTAATTTATTTAAATCTAATTCTCTTCAAAATGATTGAGTGTTTTATATATCGATTACAATAAGGAACAATAATCTAATCTACATTGATCTGTTTTTACAAGAGAGAGAGATGATAAAATCTTTTATAAAATTTCATATGAAAATTGTCTAAAGTATTCTTTACCTAACAAACTTAATTAAAACTTTACTTTATGATTCAAAAATCTATTAAATGATCTTTAAAATAACTATTTCAGGAACACGTCCTGATTCAAAAAAATCAGATATATGATTTATGATCAATTCATCAAATACATCCATTAATTTGATATGGATATCAGTAAGCAATTAATTTAATTCTTCTGAAATTTATGGTTGACTGAGTATTCGATTAATAATTCGTTTTAACACATGTGTACATTAAATGACTGCTAATTTGGCATCCTCTGTTTTACTTAACAATCCTGCAACTTAGAGAGTTAATCTTAATACTCTAGTGTATTCATTATTGATTTCAGCCATCTAAAATACATTTAATAAGTACTTCATCTAAAATCTCAGAACATTTACACAAGTAGACAACAGGATGTTTTTACATTACTTAACGACTAATTTGTTCACTCTGCTTTTCGTCTCCTTCTTTTATAAATTGTTAGATTAAGCCTAAGTATAAGTTAAACAACTTACTTTCAAGCAGCTAACTCATTTTCAATTATTAATAAAAAAATATAAATACCACTTAAAAAAACTTATTTAATTCATTTCTCATTAATTTAATGACATAAACTTCAATTATACACATTTACATACCTCATATTCTAAATTTAACTCTCTATAATATTAAATATCATATTTTAGATTGTGAATGACGATTTTCTGAATGAAGAAAATATAAAGAGATTATATTAAATTAAACAGACTTTTTTTAATTTAACAATATTTAAACAGAATGCAACGAGTACCACAATATGTTCAAAGACCTGTAGTATAAGACTCTTTTCGTTAATCTTTCAAATAGACACCTGATAAAGAGAACTCATATGCATAATTGCAAAAACGAAAACCAATACAAGCTTATCCTCAATATCAATCTACTTAGACCCTCCAAAAACCAGAAATGCGTCCTAGTTCTTCTTAACCTAGACAACCATCTGTTTAGGCTATCCAAAGACCATCTTCAGCATCTAATGATAAGAGAGCTTTTTCTAATCAAAAATAACCATCCAGATGCTCATTCAAAGAATTAAAGAACTCTACATACATTCAACCATAATAAGCTACGCCTTAATCAAGATATTATTCATTAAAATAAGTTCCAGATAATAGTCTTGTCAAATCTTAATCTAATTAACAGTTGGCAAACAAATAAATTGATTAATCAGAATATAAAAAATTACACGAAAAATTATTATTTTTAGAAAATAAGATCAACAAAATTAAATCCAATATTGAAATCAGTAATTCATAATTACAAAAATAATCAGAAAGAACTAAACAAAAACCTGTTGGTTTGGCAGCTAAATTTTTCTAAAAAAAAGATTAAGAAAATTGTTAACCCAAAGAAGCAACTACCCCAAAGGAATTAACAAAATGTGCCACTGCTCTAAATCTATAACTTAATAAGGCTTTAAAATAGAGTTAAATTGGAAAAGAAAAATAATCAAGCATAAATCTAGATTAATTTGTTACATAAGTTAAGCAAATAAAAAAGCCTATCCAACCACAACAATCCTAATTAAGTAGACATTAATCTTTAGAAATCAATTAAACCACTGTTCCAGTTACTAAAACTATTGTTAATGAAAAATCATATTCATCACAAAAACCAAAAAAGGATGACAATGTAATTTAAACCATTTTACTTTAGTTTATATATTATATTTCAAGTGTCGTTAGAGCATTAGTCTAAGAATAAGTTAGCAAAAATGATGAAGTTGTCAGGGATCACATTGTGCAAACTATTTAAGTAAACATTTATATTATTATAAACTAGGGTTTAGAATATGCTAGAAATTTACAATTGCAATTCTAAGAAGATAAAGTTGTGAATCTACCAAAATCTAATCATCTCAAAACTTTAGTTTTTGATTTAGATGAAACTTTGATTCATTGTAATGAAAGCATTGCTGTTCCAGGTGATATTGTATTACCCATTACTTTTCCTACTGGAGAAACAATTTAAGCATCAATCAATATAAGACCTTTTGCTTAATAAATTCTTTAAACTTTATCTCGACATTTTGAAATCATTGTCTTTACAGCTTCCCATTCATGCTATGCTAATATAGTATTAGATTACTTAGATCCAAAAAAACAATGGATCAGCCATAGGTTATTTAGAGATCATTGTTTATAAACTGAAGAAGGAGCATACATCAAGGATTTAAGGTATTTAAATTATTCATTTCTAGAGTCTTAGGCAATAGAAAATTATCTAATATTCTCTTGATTGATAATGCCAGTTACTCATTTGGGTAATAAATTGATAATGGAGTACCTATTATTGCATATTATGATAATAAATAAGATTAAGTAATCTTTTATTTTAAATTTAGGAATTATTATACTTATAAAATTATTTAATGAAATTTAGAATGGTCACTGATGTTAGAGAACTCAACTCATAATCATTAAAAATTAACTCTTATACAAATTATTAAGATCCTATGAATTTAGTTTAAGAGCTATTCCCTGATTCATTACCAAAATGATTAATGATTAGTTGTACTTTCATTTATTAAGAAATAACATTATAAAAATCAATCTATCTATCAATTTTTTTTAATTTTTATTATTTCTTTTAAATTTTGATATTTTTATTACAGATAACATCCTTAAATCAAAATAATGACTTGCACTACTATTAAAAATATTTACATGTTAAATATATTGAATAACTTTAATGAGATATTTAAATGTATCAATCAAATTAACATCAAAATAATTTAATTAATTTTATTCACTCTTCTTAAAATTATTTCTCTATTAAAAATCTAACTCTCTATATTAAGAAATTATACATTTAAAATTACAATATATTACATAATTAAGCATATCATAAATTAAAATTTTGATTAATAAATATTTGATAATATAACATGAACATATTAGCCCTTATTAAGAATTACCTAATTGATTTTATATATTTTTAATAGTATATAATATTTGTCATTAATAACTATTTATATATATAAATAAATTAATGAAGGATCATTTAAGCAAAAATAAAAATTAAACGAATTTAATGTTTGAAATATAAAAATTAATGAAAATTTTCAGAAATTAATTGTTATAATAAAATATATAATATCGTTTAATCATGTGCATAGTATATTTATGATTTAATTTTAAGATTTATACCAGAATAGTAATGTTATTAATTCTTCTATAATATCTGGATAATAATATTTTATGTTTCTAAATTGCGTTATAATCAATTTCTTATTGAGATACAGTAAAATAAATGAAATGATTAAAGTGTTTCATTAAACTTGATATTTTTGTGTAATTTTGCTACCATATAAAACTTTAGAATAGAAATTTAGTTAGTATTTAGTAACTAAGAAAATAAAAAATTATGTTATAAAAATTCATAAAATACAATTTGTTTAAATCAGATCATTATAAGCCTTTGAATCTTTCAGATTTTTGTCAATAATTTTTCTAAATAGATTTTATGGGCTAATAGGGAATTCAGGCTCAAGTTTATCCTTGTAAGCTTCTTTAAATTCTTTCTCAAATTTTTCAATAGTTGAATTGCTTGAAAGAATCTTTTTTATTAATGATCTCAATCTAACATATTTACTTCTCAAATATGCTATTTATATTTCTATAATATCATTAACTAATTTTGTATTTTATTTAATTCTATCTGGAGTAGTTTTCAATAATTATGGATTTGAATTAACTTCTAATACATAAATTTATAAATCATCCGTTAGCATAAAATCAACACCAAAGAATTCTGATAATTTACTATCCTTATCATAAAATTATTAAGTGCTCATTATTAAATGCTATATTGTATTGTGTATTTTGGGATAGAGATAATTATTAAGCCAATTTTTGTTCTTTATTTTTTTTTATTGTAAAAGCAATTCTTGTAAATAATCCAATTTCCAATTAATAAAAAATTGTTCATCTACTTATAAATCTTCAGCTCCAATTTTTTTTTTTACTATCGCTGTATTACAAACATGAGAAGATTTCTCTAAAGAAAATTTATTAAATGGCATAGCACATCTTCTAATTAATGAACTATCATAAGCATAAACAATTAAAGGATATGTTGAAGCTATTATAAAATATATTCTAAATTCTATTTTATGTCCATTAAATAAATAAGGATTGTTAATATATTTTTAAGCAATTGTGTATTTAGAAATTTCCCCACAATTTTAACCATTTTAGTAGTCTTTAATTAATTATTTTGTTTCTTTTTCAAAAAGCATTGTAATACCTGCACCTCTATGTACTTCTAATCCTAATTTACTAATAAATTGAGGTCCAAATTTTTTGTACTTCTATTAGTATTCTGTTGTATTAATGAGTTAAAAGAATGATTAACATTCATCTTTTAACCATAATCTATAAGATTTTGGTATATATGTAACATTTTATGAACATACAGGAGGCATAGTTTTCAATTTATCAACATATAAATAATAATTATTTAGTAATTCGTTTTTGTATGCTAATTATTATCTCCCTCTCATATGGTTATGCTTTTAAAACAAACACATAGCAGCTAGTTTATTTAGATATAAAATATACATAATCCAGTATTTGATCTGGTTAGATAGGAATCATAATAATTAAAAGGAATAGTAAGTGTTTCAGGAAGGATAGTCTTATTTTTTTTATTTTCTTAAGAGACATCAGGTATTGTTATAAAACTTATTGTTTGAACAATTTCTTAAGTTAAATCGTTGGTTTCTCTTGTTGTATAGATATCTTTCAATACAATATCAGGATGATAAAATTTTAACACATCTGATTAATTGCAGTAACTTTCATTCAAGTCAATTTCAGATTTCGATAAATCAAATCGAAATCTTCTTGTATTTGAAAAATATTTCCTATTGTTGTAAAAGTTAGTGGTGGCTAATTAATTCATTTATCTTAGAATATCTTTAACTTAATCATATTAGTTGTAAATCAAGGTATTCTAGATGAACCACCTCAATAAAAATAAGATAAATAGAGATGCCAATAATATTTATTAGGTCATTAAATTAAAATAATTATAGGGCCATTAGTATAGCGGTAGTATGGATGTTTCGGGTACATCAGATATGGGTTCAACTCCCGTATGGCCCCATTTTTTAATAAATCATCTGATTTTATATATAAATAATGCTACTTCTTATTTTTGCTCACATTTAGTGCATTTTTAATTATACAATACAGATAATAATATGTATAATATTCACTCATTTACTATTTAATCAATATTTTTGATATTTTTTATAGATTTAAACTTTATTTATAACATGACATGTTAATCATTAACAATGTATATTTAAATTATTTTATCATGATAATCATAAACATATGTATTTCTTCACTAAATTTTTAATTACTATTTATTTTTTTTAATTTTGTAATAATAATATATTATTAATTGTTCCTTTTTTTAACAAAAATTTAATGTTCTTTTATCTATTCTTTTATATTTATCATTATATGGTAATAGATACAAAATAAAGGGCTTCTTAAATTGTTTTCTTATTTCTTCTTTTTTTTCTATTACCTTTTGATATGATTGAATTAAATGAATTCCGTCTTAAACTTCATCATAAGAATATTTTCATGTTTGCATTCATATCGCTTTTTGAGTTTACAATAATATTTATAATTTTACTTTCCTGGTATAAAGAAATGTATTGAAAAGTTTTCTGGGCTTTTATAGCCATATAAAAATATAAATATTTCAATTGAACTTTTAAAATATATGAGTAATAATTTCACTACTTAAATTTGAGTTTCTATCATTGGAAAATGAATAACAAACCTTTTGTTGTTTTCTTTTATTATTTTTTTAACTTTCATACTTAATTTTTATAATGATCTCTTATTTAAAGCTGCTATAAAGATTTCATTAGTACGTAAATGTGAGGTATCCATATATATCTTTTTTCTATTCAAATTCTAAAGCTTGTTTTGCAGCATCAAAAATCTTATCATCTACCCATGCTCCAAAGACTCATATAATTTGTGAAGGAAAACGTTAAATATTTAGTTGAATTTTCATTCTTAAATACTTTAGGATACCTACACCTTAAAATATTCAAATAGTATCGATTGATTTTACATAAGTTTCTACTGGTATCATATAACTTTTCAATTTTTATACAAGTTCACAAGCGATTAAATTAAGTAAAATCCTACATAATTTAAGCTATTTCAATTAACATCAAAGAAGCCTACTATAATTTTGATTCTTGATAATCTAAATTTGGGTAATTTAGAATCGCTCTTTTAACTTGATATAATCTTTTTTTTTTAGTTTTTTTTCCTTTTTAAGGTTATTAAATCACTGATTCTTGTTAAATAGATATAAGGATTATTAAAAATTCAATAATACACAAGAAGTTCTAGATCAATTTTGGATATTTTTTAAAATCTCAAAGAAAGCCGTAATACAATAAAATGTTCAATATCTAACAAAATCATATAATTATATTCCTGTATATGAATAAATAGTTTATTGACAGAGTGAAANTAATAATATATTATTAATTGTTCCTTTTTTTAACAAAAATTTAATGTTCTTTTATCTATTCTTTTATATTTATCATTATATGGTAATAGATACAAAATAAAGGGCTTCTTAAATTGTTTTCTTATTTCTTCTTTTTTTTCTATTACCTTTTGATATGATTGAATTAAATGAATTCCGTCTTAAACTTCATCATAAGAATATTTTCATGTTTGCATTCATATCGCTTTTTGAGTTTACAATAATATTTATAATTTTACTTTCCTGGTATAAAGAAATGTATTGAAAAGTTTTCTGGGCTTTTATAGCCATATAAAAATATAAATATTTCAATTGAACTTTTAAAATATATGAGTAATAATTTCACTACTTAAATTTGAGTTTCTATCATTGGAAAATGAATAACAAACCTTTTGTTGTTTTCTTTTATTATTTTTTTAACTTTCATACTTAATTTTTATAATGATCTCTTATTTAAAGCTGCTATAAAGATTTCATTAGTACGTAAATGTGAGGTATCCATATATATCTTTTTTCTATTCAAATTCTAAAGCTTGTTTTGCAGCATCAAAAATCTTATCATCTACCCATGCTCCAAAGACTCATATAATTTGTGAAGGAAAACGTTAAATATTTAGTTGAATTTTCATTCTTAAATACTTTAGGATACCTACACCTTAAAATATTCAAATAGTATCGATTGATTTTACATAAGTTTCTACTGGTATCATATAACTTTTCAATTTTTATACAAGTTCACAAGCGATTAAATTAAGTAAAATCCTACATAATTTAAGCTATTTCAATTAACATCAAAGAAGCCTACTATAATTTTGATTCTTGATAATCTAAATTTGGGTAATTTAGAATCGCTCTTTTAACTTGATATAATCTTTTTTTTTTAGTTTTTTTTCCTTTTTAAGGTTATTAAATCACTGATTCTTGTTAAATAGATATAAGGATTATTAAAAATTCAATAATACACAAGAAGTTCTAGATCAATTTTGGATATTTTTTAAAATCTCAAAGAAAGCCGTAATACAATAAAATGTTCAATATCTAACAAAATCATATAATTATATTCCTGTATATGAATAAATAGTTTATTGACAGAGTGAAACATTTTATAAAAGTTAACATAATTTAATTATTGAAAAAATTAGTAAAGCCTAAAATTGTTTCAAAAGCAATATTTTTAAAAATTAAAAAGTTATTAATCAAGATGGGGAATAACTTCGAAAGACTACCGTATGGCTAATTTTGAAAAATGTTCTTATGATAGCATTACATTTTATAATAATTATATATATAATAAAAATGAATTCAATAAATTAATAAATAATGATATTTATTCTTATTATTTCTAGAAAATACAAATTTATTTCAAGACAGTTAAGAGGAATAGATAATTAATAATTATATGAGATTTTTTAAAATGATATAAAATAAAAAAAGAAATGAGAATAGATCATGTTTCACAATAAAATATTTCAAGATAATTTATGACTTGTTATTTAAACTCTGCAACCTTAGATTAAATAATTTTTGATCAGAACATTAATTAAAAAGTTTATTTTAGTTACGAAGTTATTGATTATTCGAAATTTAAAAAACATGGTTAGCTTCAATATTTTTTAATCCATAAGTACTTCTTCGGTTTTTATTGAATGAATCGATTTGTGAATATTATTTTAATTATGTAATCTCCAAATGTCAGGATGAAGCATCCTTCTAAAACCATTGTTATCAAAAAAAACACCTTATTGCTTTAATCTGCAGATAATGGATTCCAGAAATAAAGATCACAAAGATTAAGCAAATCAATTAGAAGAAGAAGAGGAAATGTTTTAGATAAATAGGAACTTTGTTAAATTAATAAATTTGCTTTAAAGCTCTAAGCTAGTTCTGATTCAGAATCTGATAGTGATGTTTCAATAAGAAAATCAGGATAATCTGGAAGCTCTAATTCAAGCATAAAATCTGTAAAAACAATTAAATCACGCTCTTCCAAAAGAATTAGAGGAAATCTAAGTTAATACACTTAAGACCTATTTTCTACAATAATAAGAAAGACAGAAAGCCAAAGAGATTAGCAAAAGTAGAAATATTAGAAAATGTATTTAGGGAGGAAATTTAGTAAAAATTATTTGAAAGAATGGCTGATTAGGCTACAGCTGAGAACTATTTACTCCACTAAAAATTAGAATAGTTTGATCAGTCCTATAAGATTAACAATTTATTATAATAAGATGAAAAAGATTCGTAGCATTATTCTCAAATTTTTTCTAACCTTTCAAATGAAGATAAATAATCAGATAATTCAGATACAAGTGTTTAGATCTAAGAGGATTAAGATATATTGAGAATTTAATAAGAAATGGAAAATAATTGTCATAGTCCCAATATGTCCATTTTAACTCCTATAGCTGAAATGAGTGTAAACCAATAATTTTAATAAGTCAACCTATTTAAAACCCAGACTCACAAATTTACGTATCTCGCTCGCTGGTTTTAGCCCTTTAACAGTTACTGAGTAATCTTCATCTTCTATTGATGTATTTTAAATAATCATCTATTAGGAGGATTACGATTATTAAAAAATATTGTCATATTAATTTGACAAAATTTATTAAAAATTAAGTTATATTAATGGGGCCTAATTTATCAAGTATAGAAAACTAGAAAGTTTCCGTAAATATCATTTGATATATGTAATAATAAAAAATAATTGAGAGTTCATATATAGATAATTACATGATGTTAAAATTTAGAAAAATTTTACTTTATATTTATTTAATTACAAGGAGACTTTCTAAAATTATTGTTAGATCTAGATTATATTAATTTATATTGACTTTAGTAACATTAGGAAACATAGCAATTTTTATATCGGAACATCTTGTTGATGAGGATAATAAATATTAAGAATATAGTTTTAGTAAATATTTTATTTTGAGAGTTAGCTTTTTTATAATTTTATGTGGTAGATATATTTTTACAACTTTTGGCATATGGAGTGTTTCGTACTAAATTCATTTTTCTTTCTAGAATAATTGATGCTTTTTTAATTATTCTGTATTATTATCATTTGACTTATTCTCAAACAATTATAGATATATCTCCATTAAGAATGATAAGATTATTGAGGCACTTAGGGGCCATTTTTGAAGGTACATAAATTTTGATAATATGAAAGGATTATAGAAAATGATTGAAGCATTAATAGAATCTTTGAAATTTATTTTAGAATCAACAGCGATTGTAATTTTATTTGTTTTATTTTTTGCATCTTTAGGAACATCATTATTTATGGGTTTATTTAATGAAAGATGTTTACCTTCAGATGAATCAGATTGGATATAATGTAGAGAAGGCTATTGTTCTGATGGGACAATATGTTAGGTTACAAGTAAATCATATAATATTCCAACAAATTTTAATAATATAATTTATTCATTTGGACTTATTTTAAAGACTGTTACAATGGATGATTGGAGTTGGGTTATGTATTACACAATTAGAGCATTTCATCCTATTGTTTGGATTTATTATGTTTTAATTATATTTGTTGGTGGATTTTTTGGATTCAATCTTCCAATAGCTGTATTTAAGACACATTTTAGTGAAATGTAATTTAGAGAAAATTAATATACAGAACAAGAAGAGAATGTAATTAGTAAATCAAATTTAAATCGGATTGGTTTTCATCAAATAATTATTTAAATGAATCAATTTTTATTTTCGAATTCTCAAGATATCTTATTAAATGAACCTAGAAATAGAAAATTATCATAATCTTAAAATCCATAGCTTAGAATCTTATTAGGGAGTGTATTAAATGAAAATAGAATTAACACAAGCAATTTTACTTAATTAAAAAATTAGATTAAAAATTTTTCATTAAAATTCTTTCTACTTCCTAAATTATCAATTCTTTAAAAGAATTTCCTTATGTTGGATCTTAAAAAATTTACTCAAGATTAAAAAATTTAAGTTATAATAAAATAATTTAGTAGATCATCTTTTTTACTAGAAAAGTTTATAGACTATAAATATTAATATATTTAAACTAGTTAATTAGATATTTTAAGAAAGTCCCTTTTTCAAGTGTTAAAAAAAACAGAAAATTAAAATTGTTAGAGTGAAAAAAAAAAATTATTCTATTACAAGCTAATTTAAAAGAAAAAAACCTTAATATAAAGTTAGCGTGTAAAATCATGTAAATCAGAATAGTTAGGAGTTTCTCCTTTAAATAATTAGAAATCTCAAGCTTAATTACCAATGAAAACATCAAAAAGAATGAAAAGAGATAATTTAAATCATTCTGAGATTCATGGTTAAAAATCAAGTTCAGAATCTTCTTCTTTAAATTAAGGGTTGTTACATAATAAAGAAATAGAAAAATAGAGAAGAAAGTTTCCTTATTTTATGAGTGGATAATAATATATTCCAAAAAAGTCTGTATGTAAACCTTTCACAATATATAATTGTGGTGAATTAAAAGTACTTTTAAATGGGACATATTTAGATTATTAGGATATAGAGAAAAGGATAAATTCAAAAATAGTAAATAAAGCATAAGATAAACCTAGATGTTAAGAGAAATTTATAAAAATAAAGAGAAAAGAGTTTTAAAAAAGATTGATAAAATCAAGGCATTGGTCTGGAAACAATGTATTAACAAATAGTTTATCTTTGATAAAGAAATTTGATGATATATTTTAAGAATTGAATGTAAGAGATATAGAAATTTGGCATAGATCTTTTAGTGGAATATTGAAGACTTTATGGAAGTATGCTTTTAGAATAATACATTTTAAATTAACAAAATTATTTTTTGATCTTACAATTTTGATTAATACATTATTTTTAGCTTCTTAGGGTTTAATAGAAAGATATATAATTGATAAAGTAGAAGATATAGCAACGATATTATTATCAACTGAGATTATTTTATAATTGATCGTACATAAGCCAAGTAATAAATTATAAAGATATTAGGAAGTCTAACAAAAAATAAACATCATGTTATAGAATTGCTGATAGTAATATTAAGTTTAATAGAGTTTGGATTTAGTAACTATTTGAATGTAAGTGAATAATATTTAAGATTGATGAGATCTACAAAATGTTTATTATTTTATAGATGCATAGGATATATATAAATGGCTCGAATAATTGGTGCAATAGCATAAATAACATATAAATCATATATATATTTGGCATTTTTAATGTTCTTTATGATTTTGACATTTGGATTAATTGGAATGGAACTATATGCTCATAGATTTAATCAATATCATATGGAAGGATATATGCATTCATTTGATGATCCAGCAAAAGCATTTATGACAGTATTTAATATAATGACAAATGATGATTGGTTTGGAGTTTATAAAATTGGAACAGAAGTGTAGACAGAATTATCAATTACTTATTCTATTGGATTAGTGTTTACATTAAACTATTTTATTTATGGTATAATGATGGCAATCTTATTGGATGGATTTAGTTAATATTTAGAAAGAGAATCTACAAATGAACATAATGAATTCTTAAAAAACAAGATTAAATAAATTGATAAACTTAATAAATAATTAGATTCTGAACATTCTGATAATGATTCAGAATCTGGATCAGAATCCAATTCATGTTCTTCATCTGATCTATAATATTAGGATTAAGTTAATAATCAATAAGGTTTTATCAATAAATTTAATGATCGAAATTAAAGCATGTCTCCTGAAAATTTACAAGCATCATCCAGTAATTTTAGAGATTATCATTAAAATCTATATTTGTAAAGGGATAGTAATTTTACAGAAAAGATATTTCATTCACTTTAATTTCCAATAGCTAAAACTAGAAAAATGGAATTATAGGATGAATAGAAAAAGAAAATTAAAGATGACTTTAGAAGATTAAAGAGTAAAATCAATATGATTAAATTGAAGACTAATGAATCTAAAACTATTAAATATCTTTAAGAAAATGTAGAATAGATCTTTAAGAAAACCTTTAGACACAATCATAAATTATATGCTGGAGTTGAATGTATGTAATCCTATTATTGTTTTAAAAAATCAAATCCCTTAAGAAAAATTTTCTTCAGAATAAGCTTTAGCATTTATACAAAATATTTTATTGATTTCATTTTATTTCTTTCTATTATCTATTTAGCACTTCCAAAGAATATTTAATAAACACCATTATTAGTAACAATATTATTTATTTTGAATTCAACTATTTTTATAGAATTTTTAATAAAATCTATTGCATAAGGGGTGTTTTTAGATAGGGGATCATATTTAAATGTAAATATTTTTAATATAATAGTATACTTGGAAAATAGTTGATTTAATTTACATCATTGTTTATTATGTAGAATTTTTTAATATTGTTTATTTGCCAATTTTTGTAGTTATTGAGACATTTTTATTTTTTAGACCATTAAAATTATTATATAGAATAAAATGGGTTGCTAGAATAAGAGCAGCTTTAACTCAATCTTTATTTGATATTATAAATGTGTTTGTAGTATTACTTTTAGTATGGTTAATGTTTGCTGTATTTTCAATGATGTTATATGCAGGTAAAATGGGATTTTGTGAGGAATAAATAAATTATGATATAGGATAAGAAGAATGTATAAGATAAGGTAAGGAATGGAGAGTGTATAAACATAATTTCGATAATATAACAACTGCTTTACCTGTTTTATTTATAATATCTACATTTGATGGATGGGGTTCAATATTATGGGTATCATAAAATAGTAGAGAAGCATCTGATGGTCCACATCCTTATTATAGTTAGATTCCAACTTATATCTTTTATTCAGCATTTTGTACTGTTGGATCTATGTTTTTCTTATAGTTATTCACTGGTGTATTATTTATTAATTTAAAAGCTAATTCAAAAGAAATGGAAAATTAATAATTAACATAAGCTTAATTAGAATATATAAATGTTTCAGAAATCATTTTACATGATCATCCTATTAGAGCATCATTACCAAAATCAGAAGTAAGAAGGTTTTTAAATATATTAATTATGAATAAATACATGGATTTATGTATGTTTACTATTTTATTAGTAAATTGTGTTACAATAATGATGATTCATCATTCAGCTGATGATCTTTATAATGGTAGAATTAATTAAATTCATCATACTTGTACTATAATATTTGCCACTTGGTTATTGCTTTAATTAATAAATTTAGGAATCAATAGATTTAAAGATAATTTATGGAGACTCTATATATCTTTAGTAATTATTTTAGGAGTCATTGATTTAATTCTTGATTATAAATTTAATTGGTTTGAATTCTATTGTAATTCGACATAATTAAGTGAATTTTATTAATTATTAAGAATCTTATATACACTTAGAAATTTAAGAATCATAATAATATTTTAAGGTTTGTAGAATTTATAAAGATTAGTAAGAGTTATGTCATTTGCATTACCATTTATGCTTAAGATTCTATTCATTCTTTTAACAATAATGATTGTATTTGCATTTTATGGTGTAATGCTATATGGAACAATAGATAAAGGTGAAGTTATTAATGATTTAATAAATTTTTCTAATTTTTGGTTAGCTATGCTTACACTTTTTAAATGCGTTAGTGGAGATGATTTTAGATCTATTATGAATGATTGTATGCATCATAATCCATATTGTTCTGAAAATCCTAAATATTGTGGATCACCATATGCTTAAATCTATTTTATATCTTTTATGTTAATATCTAATTATGTTTTATTAAATTTATTTGTCTTAGCTATGATAGAATAATTTGAATTTTTCTTTAATAATTAAGATTCTATACTTTAAACATATGTTGAAAATATAGATACTTTCAGAAAAACATGGTTCAAATATTCAAGATAGAATGGACAAGTATTAAATATTAGATCCCTACCTCATTTATTAATTGAAATCAAAGAACCATTAGGATGTAAAACTTATGATAATTTATGGGATGCTGCTAAAATGAGTTCAAAATTTAATTTATTTTGTGATACTGGAGATAATATATCTTATAATTAATTATTATACGAGATTTTTTATCATAGATACTAAAATCAAATATTTGAATAATGTTCTGAAATGGCTGCTTAAAAGATGTCTTAATTTCATAAAACTATGCTTTTTAGATTAGCTTATTATAGAAGAAGTTTAAAATAAAGAAGAACAAATATTGGACCATAACTTCAACTAGAAGGCAATGGTAATATCTTACATGTTTTATTAATGACATTAATTACTTTCAAAGTTTGGAGATCCTATACATAACAGATCATATCTAATATCATTACTGATTAACAATATTTATCAGAAAGAACTTTCAAAGATACTGAGCCAATCAAACATTCTATTACATTAAAAAGCATAGAAAGTTAAGAATCTAGAATCAAATTAAATGATAATCCTGTTTATTAAAAAAAAAGAATGGGAAGAATGAAAAGAGTCTCATTATAAGGTTAAATCAATGACTATTTACCTGGAGATTGCATTAATGTATATATTTTTTCATTTATTTACCTAGCCAAAACCTGTTCTTTTAAAAAGAAAAGGTAGTTACGGAGTTGAAGAAGGAAACATATAAAAAATTTATCTTTCAAGTAAAATATAAAAAATTTAAAAGATGTATAAAATTATATGATTTATTTATTATTTATTATATTTTAGTACTAATTTGAATTTTTTTAAGTATAATTTAGTTTAGTATTTTTTATCAAATCATCATACATCTTATTAGGATCTAGAATTATATTATTAACTTTTTATAGTTGCATTTTTCGAAGGTTTAATTCTTTCAAATAAGTTTCTATTTGATTTACTTCTTTTATACATTTTTTTTTCAACTCCCTTTACAGATGAATAATAATGATCTATTTTCTTAAGAATTGCATCAATATTAAACTCAGGAAAATAATTCAATGAAGATCTACAATAATCTATCTATAAATTTTCATTTGTATGAACAATATCCATAATCTTTCTTTATAAGGAATCTCCCCCTCCTTAAGTATTTTCATCACAATCACCAGATATTTCTATCTAACCAGTACTTGTAATATAATTTGATTATGTTTATCCTCCTATATTAAGTCTTTTTAATTTCTGATCCATTGTTAAAACAATCTATTATTTTTATTACTATAAAACTGGATTTAAATTTGTTTATTAATTTTAATAAGATCTACGTTAAGATTTTTATATTAATTATATAGTTGTTTTTCTTTTCTTCCTTCTTTATTCTCCGCCTATTTATATTCTTTTTTCTTAAGTCTCTATTTATTTTCTTATTAATGATTCTTACATTTCGCTAGCATCACTATTTTTACTCAGTTATTTAATCACACAATTATTTTAATCTTAATCTTATTAATTGCTTTGATTTCCTAACTTTTAAGATTATAAAAGACTACCAAGTTCATCTAAATTTGATAATCTTCTAGGAGCATTTTATATTTATTTTTAATATAATTTAGTATTTTAGTTTGTTATTTAGTTATTAGGTATTCCAATTAATTATTATTATTCTTACATTTCTAGTGTTTTTTCTTATACATCCTTCTTTAATACCTAGAATGCTTTTGATTTTTCCCTTCCAAATTATATTCTCTAAAAATTCATTATACTTTTTTTTAATTCATGATTTTCTTTAAAATCTGTATTTACTCCTCCAACCAAAGTTTTTGTACTTTTCTTTTAAAATGCCTTTTAAATTTCACTTTTTGTGAGAGATTGAGAATCATTTAAATTTTTAGACTATTCATCTGCACTTTATGAATCCATTTCTAAATTTTAAGTCAGTTAAAAACCTAAAGATACTAAATATTCATCTGTAAATTCTCTATTATAATAAAATTAATATACTATTCAGTTAAATTTCCAACTATAATTTTTAAAGCTCCTTCTTAAACATTATTTAAATTTTCTCTTGATCTAGATTTAATAGTATGTCGATAAGGAAATTTAATTCTATTATTTAATTTAACAGCTGTGAAACTATTTGATATTTTATTAATATTTGGTTATAAGAATACAAAAGGACATCTAATTTAATAAATTATATTTACTATATAAAATTATGAGTCCATTCACAAATTTCACAAATATTTCCAGATCCTTTATATTATGGATTGAATAATAAGCGATCTCTCTTCATACAAAATATTTCATATTCTGATTAATTTTCACTTATGACTTTTATAAAATCATCATAACTATTTAGAAATAAGAAAGATACTCAATATAAGCCATTTAAGTAAATTTTAAAGCTCTTACTTTATAATCATATGGCTGTTATGTAATGAATTCTCTTTCTCCTAATACTGCTCTAATTTTAGATTATATATAATTACCCAGAACTAACTTTCTTGAGAAAAGTCTCAGTAGCTTCATAGAAATCATTTTCATCTATAAATCATTAATTGAATATACTCTAATGATCTGCTACAAATTCTAAAGCACCAGAAAGTACAAACCATACTTTATTAGGTTATTCAAATCGAGAATATAAGACTTCTTCTGGTAATACTTTCTTCTCTTTAACAAATTAACACAGATTGTTAATTGTTAATTCTTTAAAATTCTCCCTGAGAAATCTTGATTTCTTTAGTGTATTACAATATAAATCAGTTAAAACTTCTTCTTTTAAATGTTTAGTTAATTAATTTATAAATATCTCTGCGTGACTATCTTCTTCTTATTCTAATTAGAAAAAGTATTCAAAATATTTCTTAACCTTTTGAATTAATTAAAGTATTACTTTTAATGAGAGATTAAGATTAAGACCTCTTTTTCTAATATGTTAATGTATTTATCTAAGTTTAAATTTATAAGTGGTCTTTTTATCAGACATCTATTTAAAAATATTACCAATATTTGAAATACAATAACCAAATACTCCACAAAGTAATAATGTTACAATTATAACAAATATTCTTTCAAAAGTCGTGACAGGTACAATGTCTCCATAACCAACAGTAACTGTTGTTATTACACTCCAATAAAGAGAAATTATATATCTATCAAACCAATTATAATCAAATGCCTATCTATCATAATGAGTTAACCAATTATCAGTTATACCAAATGATTCATATTCTGTTAATGCAACAAAATGCCATGCACATCCACAAAAATGACCGGTCAAAACAAGAAAAAAAATAAGTTTGAAAAGATCAACAATTATTTGAATGTTTTCCTTTTTTTATATTCATATTATATTACCTCTAAATTTAACATTTCCTCAATACTTTCCATCAATGGAGACAACCTTGTCAATCTAAGTAATAAAGTATATCTCACAAAAGGTATATTCATATTAGACATCATAAATGGTATTACTACTACTAAATCCCAAAAAAAATTATCTTTTAGATAGTGTTTAACTATTGATTTTCTATCTTCATGCATTAATCCTTTATCATAATAAGCTGTGTTAAAATTAATAATTATTTCAGCTACAAAAATCCATGATGGTAACAAATCAAATAAATATTCAAATACTCCTGATGTTGATATATTAAAACTTATATTAATTGGTATGTAAAATATATTCATCACTATAAAAAGTAATAACAAAATATCCCAAACTATTTTAAACTTACTATCAGGTCTGATTACTCTAATATTTCTACTTAAACAATCTTAAAAATTTTCTAAACAATGAAGTAATTTTTTTGCTCTTTTCTAAAAATTATATTTCAAAATTAAGAACTTATTAATTTTAAAATTTTATACTAAACTTGGTTTTTACTTAATTTAATGAGAAATTAAGATATACTCAAAATTGCTAGATAAATCACCAATAACAGAAAATATCTTCTTTGTTAAAAGTCTAAACTTTATAGTTTCAGTCTTAGTCTTCAGCTATTAGATAAATCGAGATACTAATCGAATTATTATAAGTCCCTTGGAAGCCCATATGTTGTTTAAACTAAGTATGAGTTTTAATTATACCCCATCTTTCTTTCTTATTTTCCACCAAGCTTTTTAGATGAAAGCTCATTTGTTTAATTACTCTTTTACTATTGTGATTCTTTTTTCTTTCTTATTTTATCCTCCTCTAATTCAAATTGTAATACAAAACTTTAGTACTTATCAATTTTTGAGTTTGACTTCACTCCTTAAACTAATAAATTGAATGTCGAATCAACTATTAATCCAGTATTCCCTTTTTTTAAAGGACTCTAATTTATCTATTGGTTTTTCTAAATACTAGAACTTCTCTATTGTTTTATTAAAGAATTCGTTCTTGATCTTGCTGATTCTTAATCAGATCTATTACTACTTATATGATCCAATCAATATATTACCTAACACTACTCAAATAATAATCATCTTCAGAATTTTATTCCTTATGACCTTCATTTAATGCCCCAAAATTATCTCTTTCAAAAATATTTCTCTTATCTTTTAATGCTTCATCTATAGGTTGTTCTATCCCATTATCATTAGAATATATAGGTAATAGTTCCTCAAATCGAGGAGAAGAAATATTCTAACTATAAAGAGGATTATCAATTCCAAGGTATGAACTCTCCTTTTTTTTCATTATTTTATTTTATATACAAATTGCTTTATTAACAAATCTTTACAAATCTGTTATCACCAAATCACAATGCTTATTAAAAAGAATTAAAATTTTATATTTTCAATTTCACTTCTCCTTTATCAAAAGTTTTATAAATAATCTTTAAAACCTATACAAAAAACATAACAATCTCTCTCTTCTACTAAAATTAGTCTAAGTTCAATTACAAATTAATAATTATCTATAATCACAATCCTACCAACTCATCTATTATTCAAGTTAAAATTTTACATAAATCAAATCATATTACAATGCTCAATATGATTTATACTATAATTTTATACAAATACTTGCATTTATCAATAAATTACTTAACCTAAATTATTCACAATTTTTCAATTCAAATTCTTTACCTAATTTACTCCCGCATCCCATATCAAATTTATTTAATCCAAAGAATCTTTATAATATAATTCCTATTAAACCACTAATAAGTCCGTCATTATTTATAAAAGTTTTCTTTTAAATTTTTAGAAAATTTACAATTAATACAAAACTATTTTAAAATTTTGATGGATAATAATAATTAATTAATGTAAATTATAGCGAATTACATTAAAATTTAATTTAGAGAAATGCAAAAGGTGCTATAACAAACAAAGTTATCCACTTAAATCAATTTAATAATATTTATTAGAATAAGCATTTTATTATCCACTTATTAATTATAAATATATAGATATCATTTTTGACTAGGATTTAAAATTTATTCACTGATAAAATTAAAAAACTTTGAAGATTTTTATTAGATGTTTAATAAATCTATAATATCTATTTTTTTTGATTTAACTATGAAAAAATAAATAAACTTAAAAGAATAAATTAAAATGTAATTTTTATCGTGATATTTTTTATACAGTTTATTAATATGTTATATTGCTTTGGGAGATCTTTTTTTTTTTAATTTTTATTATTGTATAATGAGGATGTTATTTTAATTCATTGTTGAGCTAAGTGGTATAAAAAATATTTAATAATATCTCAATAAGTTAAGAAAGCTTATATATTTAATTACTCTTATAAATATTTGATATTAATTATTCTAGAAATAAAATTATAAAAAATGTTTTATATTAATAAAATTAGTATATAATAGTGAATACATAATTTTTATATGTAATATTTATTTTCGAGTGAAAATAAATAATGGATATAAAATATTAAAAATATAATGTTTAAATTAAGTAGAGTCTGATGTTATAAAATTTTATATTTGTTTAATGAATAGAAATATAGAAATATAGAGTACAATAAAAGTTTAAAGGCTGGTTATTAATAAGTATTATAAACATAATATTAAATAATATTAAGTGAATGAATTAAAGCATACTTTGATAGGAACAGAGATTGAAATTTTGGAATATTTGAGAAATGAATTCTTATAAGATGAGTAGAAAACAGAGAGGAATAACAATATTATAGATTAGGAATGTTTAAGAATAGAAGTAATTAAATGGATTATAGAGTATATTAGAGATTAGGATTATTATTTTGATAGGTTGAATTATTGGATGTATAGTGATATTAATGATGAATAATATATAATTTAAAGAGGAATAGATATTTATAAATTTAAACAATAATGAATTCAACAACAACCTCCTTCTTTTTTCTTTTTTTTATTTTGTTCGTCAAGAGTGAAATTGACAGTAGGAGTGGATGATTATTTATCAGATTTTTTACCTTCAACTAATTTGTTTTATTCTTCATATAGAATTTGTTCAGCAATAGAGACAAATAATTCTTAGATTCCTTTATTTTCCTTACAACTGGTGAGTTTAAGAGAAGCTCCAATTTACTAAATAGAAATAATACATATTACTTGAGCATAGTTATTAGCTTCGTCATAAGAAACTTTTTCATCTTCAATTAAATCATTCTTATTGCCTACTAGAACTTATACTAAAAATGAATTAAGATTAGATACATATTTTTTTTGGACCATGAGCTTTTAATTCATTAACCCATGATTTCAATACATCAAAGGAATCTTTATGTGTAATATCATAAACAATCAATGCTACTTAAGCCTCTAAAAATAGATGACTATTTAAAACCTCTATAATACAAAGGAGTAAGTGATTTGTATTTTTCTTATCCAGCAGTGTCCCAAATTTGGAATTTAAAATTAATTCCATTTACTTCTATAGTTCTAGCCATAAAAGCTGCTCCTAAAGTTGATTCATGAGTGACTTTAAATATATCCGAACAGAATCTCAACACTATCGAACTTTTGCCTACACCTGAATCTCCTAATAATACCACTTTCACTTCTCTATTCATTATTATAATTAATTAATTAATGTTATGAATATAATAAATAAAACTCTTTATTCTATTATGTGGAATAATAACCATTTAAATATTTCTACCAATTCAAATAATCTATAGTACTTAAACTATAATCATTAACACTTTTATAAAATATGGAAATATTTCATTTTTATATTCAAATATCTTTCTATTATAATACTTATTATTATTTGATATTCTATCATAATCAATTATTATTTATACATAATTTACAAAATCCATTTCAATTTTAAGGATAAATTACACAATATTTCATATCATCACATCTAAATTAATATTAATAACATTCATCTTTCACATATTCTTTTTATTTTTATACATACATCATCTTCTATATATTCTATGGTTCTTTTATTGTACATACTACAAATTATAATAACAATATCAATAATAAAATAAAATAACTATTATATTTTCAATTGTTTTTATCTGTAATTTCTTCTCCAACCTCGAAGTGCTTTTTCTCCTTTCTACTATACCAAACTGCTGTTGCACATAATGATAATAATAAAATTGCGGTTATTGCATAAATTTGATATTTTACTGTTGAAGTGCTGTTATTATTTTAGTTCAATTATAACAATTCATTTGGTAAAAATTGAATTGAATTTTTTGCATTATATCCAATTTTCAATTAGGATCTATCTTGAGTGAGTATTCGTCTTTATTATATCAACTCTGATGTTAAAACCAAATCTATATATTAATCAAATTTGATATGAGTTTCTTTTATTTTGAATTTGTAAGTAATTAATTATCCTTTTACAAATGATACCAAAAAGTCTAAACTATCATATTACTATCCATTTTATACAAGATAAGCTTCTCTTAAATTTATATTATCAATTTTTAGATCATCGTTATATATTTTTTATGTGATTGTTAATACATCTTCATTAATTTAAACATTTGTTATTTCATTACTAACTTCTAGTTACACTTTTCCATTTTCAGGAATATTTATTACTTATGTTGAAGATATTGAAGAAGATGTTTATAAATTTGTAGTTATTTCTCCTAAAAGTATAAGATTATATTGGGTGATTTGAGCAGTAGTTAATGCAACACCTAAAGAACATTAACGAATGTTCTTTTCTTTATTTTGAACAATTATTTTACAGTATTCATTTATTTAGTCAAGAGTCAAATAAAAAAATAATTACTTTTTACTTTTTAGATAGATTTGATTTCTTGCTAATGTAAATTCTATTTTATTAGATATTATCTCATTTATAAGATAAACCTTTGGTACTAAACATTAACCTAATTCAACATTAAAATCAACTGTCACTTAGAATTCTCCCTTTTGATCTATAAGAGAGTTTGCATTTTAAGCACTTTCAGTAGTTAAATCACCCAAAGTCTCGAAACAAGTATCTGGTATGCATTAATAGTTAATCATAGAAAAATCATTAAAGCATTAAGTACATTCAAAATTTCCATTACATTGTTAACAATTTAGGTTGCAATCAGAAGTTAATGAAAATTTTTATAATTTAGCACCAACTCCTAAAATTTTAATGTTTAAATTTGATTAATTTAAAATAGTTTAGATCACTATTTTATTATTCTGGAAGGATTTTTGTTCATAATTATTATCATTAAGGAAAATCTGTGGTACCTTATTATTTAAATTTTAAAAGTTGAAAATGAGATTATAGGTTGAGTGTTATAATATTTTCAGTTCGTTTTTGAGGCATAATCCTTATTCAGGTATTTCATAACATTCTTACCAATTTTGGTCATTATTTTCACAATTTGTTGGTACGATGAGTTTTTCAGTTTTACAATCCATCCATATTTGATCTTCCCACTAAAAGTTTTATGATTTAAGATTTGGATAAATTGTAATCGCTTAAGAAAAAGTTAGAATAGCAAAAATTAACTAAGACGTGTAGTTCATTAATAAAATTAATTTTAACATAATTACATTATTAGAATTTGAAGTTAAAAAAATCAAATAGAATAATTAGATATTCTATTTCATATAAAGAACTTATATCTTATAGATTTATTTTAGTAATAACCATTCGTTATAAGGATTACAAAATTTCCTAAGACTCCAACTATTAAACTCACAAGTGGCCCTTAATTGATATTCAAATAAAATATTTAATGTATCAAAAATATATACTTAAAGAGATTTTTAAGTATATTAATTTTTTAAAGATTCTTAATTTTTAAGAAGAATTCTAGTATTGTTTTAGTTGAAGAATTAATTAAAAAAGGATTTTTATGAAAGAGGAAATTAAGGAATCATTCAAAATGAAAATAAAAGTAGTTTTGAAGTGAATTAGATTTAGCTTAAGATGATATATGTAAGAGAATCAAATAATATTTATTATTTGATAATGTAGAGATAATTAAGTGATTAAACAAAAAAGAATTTATCTTTTTTATAACATAGCTTCATGCTAAATTTTATAAATATAAAATACTTTAAGGATAATAAAATCTCATAAATTTAGGTTGAATTAGCATTCTAAAGTAAGAATGTGTAGAAATCAATTTTTAAGCTGATGCCTAAAACCTTTTTTAGAACATTAGTAATTATGATAATAGAGAGAATCAGAATGAAATTATTTAAAAATAGATTTATATTTTTTATTCTGATATTACTAGTAGTGAGCCTGTAAAGTATAGTAAAGTTCATAATTTATTAATTTAATTTTTATATTAACTCCATTAAATGTGAGGAGAACCTAATTTTAAATCTTGATTTGAGTTTATAAACTCTTTTATAGATCACAAATCATTTTGAAAGTCACTAATTGGGTAATTGTGAAATTTAGAAAAAAAGTGATTGAATATTAAATTTTGGTTTACATGTAATATTTAGAGCACAATCAATTTCATGATAAAATATATAAAAATATTTGCTGTTAATTTAATTGAACTTCTAAGGAACAAGGATGAATGAAAAGATTGTAAGAATATAAAGAATATTAGAGAATAATGATTATTAATGAATAAATATTTTGGTGACTCCAATATATAAATATAATTTTTCTCATAATTATAAAGTAAGATGGGATGTAATAAATCTGTTTCAATAGTAAAGCCTCTTGATTTCTAAGAAATAAGAGAAATCACTTAAAAAATGATAGAAGTTGAAAATGAGATTATCACAATACTATTTCCTATAACTGAGAGATCTTAGAAGAGAAAAAGTACTGTAACTGTTTTTTTATCTCCTCGAAAATCTCAAAGTCGTACAGATTTATATCAGTCTCCTGTTCGAATCTCTAGCAGATCGAATTCAAGAATTTTTAAGGAAGAAAAGAATACAGAAAATATCTTAATATTTACAGATAGATCTACATAAATTCAGTCAATAAGTTTGGTTTCAGAATCTCCACCAAGAAAAGATAGAAGTAGAGGTAGCAGTGTTCATAAAGCAACATAATCATATCATTCTAATTTAGAAGCTTAGAAAATAGATAAGGAACCTGATGTTCATCCAATAATATAATAATAAATACAAAAGCACGGTTCTTTTAAGTTTTTATAGGATTAAAATTATACGGATTGCATTAAGTTGCAGCCTCATAAATTTTCAAATGGTGATATTTATTCTGGTAGTTGGAAAAATAACCTAAAACATGGGAAGGGTAAATTATTTCTAGCTTCAGGTTCATATTTTGAAGGATATTTTAAGGAAGGATAAATGATAATTGGTAAATATTTTTTTAAGAATGGTAATATATATGAAGGTGAATTTTATGAGGGAAAATTTAATGGAAAAGGATTATATCTTTGGACAGATGGTGAATATTATAATGGGTAATGGAAAATGGATTAAAGAGAAGGTTAGGGAGCATTTTAATTTTCAGATGGAAGAAGATATATTGGAGAATGGAAGAATGATAAAAAAAATGGTTAAGGAGAATATCTTAATCCTGATGGTAATAAATATGAAGGTTAATGGAAAGATAATAAAAGACATGGATTTGGTACTGCTTTATTACCAGATGGATCATCATTTAAAGGTTAATGGGTAAATGATAAAAAAAATGGTAAAGGGGAATATCGTTATACAAATGGAGATATCTATTATGGAGATTGGTATGAAAATTTAAAACATGGAAAAGGTAAACTTACATAAAAAGATGGTTGTTCTTATGAAGGATAATATTTTAATGGATAAATGGAAGGATAAGGTACATTTATTTGGGCTGATGGTAAAAAATATGTTGGATCTTGGAGTAGAAATACTAGAAAAGGTTTTGGTATTATGACAATGCCAGATGGAAAATATTATAAAGGAGAATGGGATAATGATGAAAGATATGGTTAAGGAGAATTTCATTGGGGACCAGATCATTATTATATAGGTTAATGGGTTGAAAACGTTAGAGAAGGTTCAGGAGAATATGTTGAAGATGGTACTAAGTACACAGGTAATTGGGTTAGTGATAAAAAACATGGTTAAGGAAAATAAATTTATCCATTATATACTTTTGAGGGTTCTTGGATTGCCAATTAAAGAGAAGGATAAGGTACTGCTTTATTTAATAATGGATTGAAATATACTGGATCATGGATGAATGATTGTATACATGGACATGGGATTGTTGAATATAAAGATTTTAAATATAATGGAGATTGGTCAAGAAATAGAATGGATGGTAATGGTGTTTTTACTTATAACTTTTGTACCTATACTGGATAATATAAGAGTGGTGTCAGAGTTGGAGTTGGATCATTTAAAGATGGAGCTGGTAATATTATAAAATAAGAATTTAGAAATGGTAATTTAGTTGATTATTCTGAATGACTTTTTATTATTATTTTAATTAATTAATTAATATACATAAATTCATATAGTCTTAAATAATTAAATTAGTTCTTATTGGTTATTAAGATAATAATTAGCATATGATGGTACAAGTCCTTAAGAAACTGAAAAAAGATTGGCATTCTATTATTTAATATAATAAATATACTTCACTAAAATATTTTCTGCTCTAAGTAATTACTTTAAAATGAGAGAAGATATCTTCATTCTTAATTCCTCTTGCTATTATTAAAGCAAAATCTAATTTTCCTCTTTATAAATTTTCTTTTTGCATTATGATTTCTAGAATCATTCCTTTATTTAGATTTTTTGGAATTACCTCCACATAATTACATCCTACTATTAATTAAAACATAGGATATCTTTCAACAATTATTTAAACATTCTCTACTACATCTTAAATTAATTATTATGCATGTTCATCTTAATTCATAAGTTTCCAACTTATTGAACTTTCTTTTGATTCTATAAATGCACCTTCTGTTTTCATAGCATATTGATTGAAAATCTTTCTAACCTATATTAAACATTAAAAATCTAAATTAAATAGAGAATTCCATTATAATTGATCTTATCTATACAAAAAACCATTTTCAGCAAATAAACCAACATTATAACCACTAAAAGTAGAAGATAATTCATTATATACACCTCCGGATACAATATATACTTTACAAGATTTAGATAAATCCTTTATTTTATTTATCAAATCTTACTAAACTTATCTAATCATTATAGGTTCCTCATTTCCTTTTAAATGTGGACTTTGTTGAAGAAAATGCTTCGGTTTATAATCTATAACATATTAATCAGTCACAATTGTTTCAAATTCAATGATTATTATTGGCTTTTAAGATTATTAATATGCTTTAGAAACAGCTTATATATCTAAGTGTTAAAATTTTAAATTATGTGCAACTTTAATCATTAATCCATCTTAAATCCTTAAACTAATTTAAGCAAATTTTAACATTGAAATTGCTTTCTTAGCATCAATAAATATATTCTCAATCCATTAAGATGTTTAATTTTTTCTAATTATTAATTAATCAGCTTCAACTCTAAGTTTATGTAATTAAATAAATTAATATGAATTTTGTATGACTTTTAATAATAAATTTTAGAATTTATCTTTAAATTCTTAATGTGAAAATAAATTGAATGCAACTATTGATTAAAATCCTCTATGATAACAACTTGAATCACTTATTAAAGCAATAGGCATTTTATTTAAATGAATATATTCCTGTAAATAAAAGTCATGTCTACCACTATATTTACATTGCAAATATATCTTAGCTTTTTCAAATTCTTTAAATCGATTCTTAGAATCCATATCTTCTTCTATCAATTTGATAAAATAATTGTCTTTTTTTGGATATAGAAATGAATTTATTTAATCGATTTGATTTAATAAAGAAATTCTTTATTCATTAACATCATGATCTTCAAATGCTTTTAATTAAATTTAAACATATTTAATATGAGGATTTTTTTATATAATATCTGTTTCTTTAATAAATTTGAAAAGATGTCTAAATTTAAGTTCAACTCCTGATTAATGCCCATAAGTATCTACACCAACTATACTAATTTCTGTTTTATCATCTAATTTATTTTATATAGCTTCAGGAATTTCGTATCTATGATCTCCACAAGCTCTAATTTCTATCCCTGGATTTTTTAATTTTATATAGATCTCTCTACCATAATAGTGAAATGCTAAATTTCCTTTAAATGAATGATATTCAACTTAATAGATCTCTTTCATTACTGTTAAGAATTCATTAGCTGTTTTATAATTACTAAAACAAATAACATTTGCATGTAAAAATGAATTAGTAATGTCATGATAAAAAGGGATTAATTTTAAATTGTCAATGTGAGGGAATAATCTATTATAAAATATTACTAAAGGTAATCGTGTAAATTTATGATTTACAAAGATTTAACTTAAATATAATAATCTATAATCAGCTATCAAAGCAATTGAATTTTGATTGATATGTGTTTTAATGTCTTAAAAAAATTCATCATTAAGTTTTTTAAAGCATTCTTACATATGATCTGAATATTCAAGTGCAGCAAGTTTTGTAATACTGACATCATTATTCATAATAGGTTAATAGATTTTAGTACAGAATTCTTAATTAAAATAGTCCAGACATTCTTAATTGACAAATACAGGAACAAATCCAAATTGACTTAAATACTATTTAAGTTGATCACTTTTATCAGTTATTTTTTCTCCTTTTTCATTTAATACTATAGGTAATCCAAACCAAATTCTTTTAAATTACTGAACTCCAAATAATAAGTGCAAACTGAATGAATGCTAAAAATTACGTCTTTAATATGATCCATCTGATTATTTAATAACAATAATTGGAAGATAGAATGTCGATATTAATAATGAATCCTCATCACTAATTCCTATTAAAGGGTCTTCATTTACTTCATATAAAATATCATTTTAACTAAAATTCTTCAATTATCTAAACTTTGGATTCTCAGTATATAAATCATAAAGTGATGAAAATTCACTATCTTTAGTAATTTCAATGACTGGTTTCTTTTTATCTTCTTCTGATTCTGATGATTCAGAATAATCTCTCTTAGCTATTTCTTTAGTAAAACTATCAAAACCATCTACTGAATCTTCTGAATCATCACTTGCTTAATTAAATGGATTAAATTGATCACTCAATTTAGGCTTTTTATATTAACTTAATATCTCTTAATTCAAACATACACTTGACTTAAACCTCTTCTCTACAATTTCTTTTCCTTCATAATTATTCCATTCTGCTGTCAATATTACTTTCCAATATCTACATCGATACTTACGATTTTAAGTTAATTCTTCCCATATTGCTTTTCCATTATCTAATATAACAAATTTAAATTCCAATTTAGTTCCTAATTATATCATTTTATTTACCTTGCTTAAACTCTATAGGTTTTTCAGCTACCCATTTTGGAAATATTTATGGATCTGTTTTTAATATGCACATACAATTCTCTTTCCAACTCCCTAATTCAACTTGATTACCAACTACACCAACAACTTAAGAAAGAGATGTTCTTACTGTCACTTGAAATAACACTGAACATTCTGTACTCATTTATTATTTATTAATGAGATCATATTTCTGTTTCAAAATCAATTTCATACATATTTTAT